TAAATATATATATATATATATATATTTACTGCTGACAGAAAAAGAAAAGATGATTGTGTTTTTTCGGACAACAAAGAAGCTTTTTTTCCGGAGCCCATTAGAATGCTTTGTGGATTCCCAACTGATACATTTTTGTTTTAAAGCATTAGAGGCTCATGAGCTATTTGCAGGACTGATCCACACGCAAGAGAAATGCTGTTCTCTGCTCCCTGCCTTCTCCAAAAATTCCTTCCAAAGCCGCAGGGTCCTTGCTTTGAGGAGGCCCAAAATTATTACTGGCTTTATTAGCATCCTTCAAATGTTCTTCTCTTTTCCATAAGAAAATATTTTCTCTCACAATAACTGCAGCTATTGGGGATGTGTTTTCTTCTGTACCGGCCCGGAGCTACGGTTTGTTCTCCACTTTAACTAAACAATTTTATTTTTAATCTCACCCCCTTTTTTTTCCCTCTTGCAACCTTAACTTTTTGACACTGCCTCCAGATACCTTTTAAAGCAGCCGGTGGAAATCTGTAATGCTGCCACGGTCCTGTTATTGTTTTGCTCTGATTCTCTGATAGCCACAAGGATGGAGTCCTGCACAGCTTGTCCCGGAGGCAAGTAAATATTGACAGATTAATTCTTCTCAGATGTACGGGCCATAAAGGAGTATTGTTTTAGGACCTGCTCCTGTGAGGTGATTAACACCATCAACTCCTGTTGCCCTCGGTGCATGTGGGGACTTTGCAGGATGGAGGTAGGACTCTTAGTGAGGGTACCAAGTGTGTCCTTGTGTTTTCTCCCTGCTTGGAGCCAACCATGCGTTTGTGCTTTGAGCAAACCATGCGTGTGTGCTTTGAGCAAACCATGCGTGTGTGTTTTGAGCAAACCATGCGTGTCTGCTGCGCACGGAAAACGCTGTGATGTCTAGCCTGGCTGCCTGCAAAGTCCTGAATTTGAACCCGCCGTACTGTCCTGAGGGTATCTACTTCACACGTCACCTGCCTGGCAGTCCTTGCAGCACCACTGTGGCAGCCTTCCTGCTTTTCATGGAAAAAACCTATGGAATTTCAAGCAAAATTTGAAGTCCTCAGTCATTTTTTGACCCACTGGACACTCTAGGTGAAATACTGTTTTCCCTTCAGATGAGGTCCCATTTCTATTCAATTCAATAGGTTTCTGGAGAGGCTTGCTGGGTTTGTCCCCATAACTTGATATAGAGAAATTTTCCGTAGGGAAGTGGAATCAGCTTTCCAGAGTTGTGAGACATTTCCTTCTCCATAAAAAAACCCCAGCAATGCTGTACTGCTGCTTATTTTGTCCCTGCCCGTTTTCTGCTTGTATTTTATAAACCCCGCTCTGTCTTGCTAAGCGCTGGGATATTTCGTTAATGTTTATGTGACCATTCAGCAGAGCAACTGCACTGATGCTGATTGACATGGGCTGAGGACGCAGCATGTGAGTTCATGCAGAAATAGTGATTTAAAGCAGTTGACTCTGGGCCATCGATTTTACTGTCTTACCGATAGCTTTCATGGTCTTGCTTCATATCTATTCCCAATTCTGCAGCTCTCCAGAGCATCAGTTTCAGGGATGACTTTCATTCTTCCCCCTTAAAGATATTTCTAGGGAACAAATCTGTTTCCCTTGTAATAAATATATCAGATTGTGTCAAGCAGCAGTTGTTTTTTCTTTTTGTTTGTCGGTGCCTGAGAGAGATGGCTGTTCTCTCTTGATCTCTCTCCCCGCGAGGCTCCCACGCTGCCTCCTGCTCGGAGATCTCTTGGACCAAGCCCTGGTGCTGATGCTCCTGGGCCCCACCGTGGGACTGCAAGGGAGGAGGGATGGCCTTCCTCTCCGTCCCCCGTCCTGCAGAGCCTTCCCTCCCCTTTGGTGTGCTTTGTGTCCCCGTGGTGAGGTTACATGCTGAAGTTACCTTTCCTTTCCATCTCTCCCCAGCCATGTGCGGCGTCGTTGCGACGATCTGGTTTCCCGTGTGCGCCCACCGCGAGACCACCATTATGAGCTTCGGCTACTCCCTCTACACGGGCTGGATCGGTTCTGCCCTCTGCCTCTTCGGCGGCTGGCGCATCGCGGGAGATGCCCAGACGTTCGGTGAAAACCGTTTCTACTACGCCTCGGGATCCAGCTCCCCTACCCACGCGAAGAGCGCTCACGTGTAAGCGTCCTGGGGATGTCCCACGGCTGCCGTCGGATGCTTTGGCTGGTGGGTTTGTGTGCCCTGGGTTTGCTTCTACTGACACACACTGCTGTCGGGCTCCCAGGGGAAGATTTAGAAAAGCAGCACAAATGTCTGGTAGTTTGAAGCGTTATTCTCCCCATCTGTTCCCCCCTTTCTCTAGAAAGAAAGCTCCAGCCAGCCCTACCTCTTGCTCCCCCCCTTTTTGTCCAGACCACCTGCCCCATCTTCTTGCAGCCAGGATGACTCAGATGGTTTGGGGTTGTCATGTGGGTTTTAGGGTTTTTCTTTTATTTTCTAGCTCCCCTGATTATAGGAGAGTTTAAAGCAGTAAAACAGAAATGAGAGAGACACTTTCCCGTTGTTAGAAGGACTCTGGCAGCTTCTCCCACCATGTCGCTATCTGCGTTCCCCCGTTCAAGGTCACCGCTTTGGCACGGTTTGGGCGAGAGGGCAGGGAGGAAGGCTGTGCTCTCCAGCCGGGCAAATGTTTCTCTTTTGGAACAAGAGCAGGGGAATTTTTTCTGCCCTTCTCTGTAAATACTTTTGTATGAGTTTGATCATTTTAGTAACAGTATTTCCCCCACCCCCACAGTCATCAGTATGAAGGAAACAGAACCCAAAGGTCCTAATTACACGGTAGATAACAGTGCCTTTTTATATAGTTTTAAATGACTTTGGGGGCTCTAATCCCCGCACTCTGGTTTGGTTTCTTTTTTGCCTTTGTACAGATCAGTTACTAAAAATGTATTTTTACATTTTTTTAAACTCCTTGCCTTCTTCCTCTAAATTTGTGTTCTGTCTTGCATCGTTAAAGTAGCACATTTTAACACGCGGTATAATGTACCTGTTACAATACAATTCTGGTGAATACTGATGATGCCTTTGTACTTTCAGTGAAATACTGTACAATAAATAACAGAGTACCTGCAACCACTGGCTTCTTCTTTCCTTCCTTCCTGCGTGTTTCCATAGTTAGCTTTTCCATGACAGGGGTTTCCCAATGATTTTCAAGATTTTTTACAGCAGCTTAGGATGAGAGATTCTGCTCTGCTGTGGAATTAAGTGGGCCTTTGGGTTTTTGGGGGAATATTTAAAATACGAGTCATCTTCCTGCATGGTACTGACCGCTGTCTTATCCATTCGTTCTTCCAACGTTCCCAATAGCAGCTTGCGCCAGAGGTACCGACTCGTGGTACTCTTCACATTTAGAGATTTAGAAACCCGCTGAGGAGGTGGAGATGTACCCCCAGCACTGCTTGGGCGTGCTGAAGTTGATAAGCCATGTTGCTGGAAGTGCTCTCAACTACAATAAGTGTCTGATCTGGGGTCATCGCTCTCTTTAATTAAAACCGTGTAAGATCAAGATCTAACTCTGTCCTTACCAGAGGCTGTAACAATTTAATTACGTTGATACAAAATCCCATCTGTTCCTGGAGATATTAACTCAGTTCAAATAATTTGTGTAAGCCAGGCTTCAGGAGGAGGAAAAGAGGAATAGCCGCTGTTCAAGCGTGGAGAAGGGGGAGAGCCCAGGTGGTGTTGCATGTAGGAGGAGAGGGGATTGAGCAAGCAGAGGAGAGGACCAACTAAATGGTTGGGGATGACGGGGAAGAATTTGAAAACAAGGCTGCTAGTCAAGCCTCGGTGGATTAGGGACTGTCCTTTCATCTTGGTCTGCTTCAGCTGGGTGACACAGCCATGGGCAAGGATGCTGCAGCTCCCACACCTTGCCTCCTCTATGTGGGAAGCCAAGGTGGGAGCATTTAAAAGGAGCGAATAAGGAAGCTTCAGGAGGGGTTGGTCATGTCCCGGGCTGCCTGCGCCTCACCCTCCAGCTCCAACACGCAACCCCAGCATCTGCCTTTAAGACCGAGCAGTCTTGAACGCGTCTCTGTTGTGCAGGCTTTGCGTCGCTGCCATCCTATACAATGTACCCGAGGCGGGCAGCGGCGCGGGGCCGGCGGCAGGACACTTGTGCCCATTACATCACGGGCAGGGCACAGGCAGTTGTTGTATGGGCTGGAGAGACGCTATAAGTGCTGCCATTGATGTGCGGGTGCTGCGGGCGAAGGGGTGGCGCACAGACGTGCCAGCTTGTGCAGGCTGCCAGGGGATTGTGGATTGTGCGCCGCTGCCCGCGGCTTTAGCCGGCTCTGCCGGTTATCCCTGGGGCCGACGGTGGCGTGGGAGAGACCTCAGAGCAGAAAGCTGCTGGAACGCTGCCCTGCAAATGGCCCTGGAGCTAAATGAGAGGGAAAAGCACAGGAAAACCTGTCTGAGATGCTTGAGGCGGGGGGTTGGCAAGGTGTTGGTGTTGCTGGAGGGGTCCGGGCAGTGGTGCGTGACCCAGCGAGGAATGAGCACTGCTGGGCAGCACTTACGGGTTTTTTTTGCTGCCCACACCGTTGGGCTGCAACTTGGCATCTTCAGGCACACGGGGCTGGGGACCCTCGGCAGGGGCTGGTGCTTGGGCTCTGCTCACCCTGCCCACAGTCACAGGTTACCGGCGGCTGATCCCAAACGCAATCCTTAAAAGGCTCTGGGTAAGCTGCTCAGAGGAAGGAAGAAGCTTTATTTCAGGGAAGAGAAGAAAAATCCAAACCAAGCAAAACAACCCCGGAGCAGCCGTGGGGAAAATGGACATCTGCAACCGTGGGGTGCCAGGAGATGGGGCCAAGTACGGGACAGGATATTAGTGCTGGCACCGCAGAAGGGACGTGTTTGGAGGAAGCACAAAGAACATTAAACTTTTCTGGTTTGTAAAGGATCAAAGCTGAAATACCTGCTTTGCACCCTCCCAAAACAGCCCGATCCCCCGCGGGGTTCTCCCGGGATGGGTTGGCCGTGGCCCTGTTGGCCCTTGAAGGCTTTTGGTGCTCGTTTGCTGACCCGAAGCCTCAAAATAGAGTCAAATATAATTCTCCTGAATGGCAAAACTGCTCCACGTCATGCCTAATACCAGCTGTGGAGTGGTGGGTGTGAGCTCTGGTGGTCACCCCGGTGTGGAGGTGGTGGTCCCCGATGCCCCAGTGGAGCCCTCCCCAGCTCCACCAGGACCAGCTATAGCTCCCCATCACGGGGAGCGCACCCGGCAGAATTCCCCAAATAACAGGAATAACAGCAAGGACCCCGTGGGGGGACACTGGTGGCCCTGAGCACCCCGAAGGGGAGAGGTGGCCATGGCCCCGCGAGCGATACGTGCCTCCCCGCAGCTCCGGTGCCCGTGCAGGGGGGTGACAGTGCCGTGACACCCCAGTTACCTGGGGAAAGGTGGGTGCCTGCAGCCCCCCGAGCAGATGGGAA